CCAGCAGGACGTTAAGTTGGGGGGACATAGTGACCGTGTAAAGGAGAGGTTTGCAGATGGCTACATAACGGTCATAGGCCATCACGGTCAACAGGAATCCTTCAATGCCAGCGAAGGTACCATAAAAGAAGAACTGAGTGGCACATTCATTGAATGAAATGACTGGGTTCTCTGCCCAGAAATTTACGAGCATTTTAGGGGCAATTACAGAAGAGTAACAGAAGTCAACAAGGGACAGGTTACTGAGGAAAAAATACATTGGAGTGTGGAGATGGGAGTCAATCTTGATTAACAGGATCATGCCAAGATTTCCAAACACAGTGATCGTATAGATGAATAGAAATATCATGAAAAGAAGACTCTGTAGCTCTGGATGATCGCTGAACCCCAGGAGAATAAATTCAGTCACTGTCGAATGGTTGCTCATCCCTTTGTCTCAGAATGGATGATTTGCTTGCTGAGATAAGATAGAAATCATAGATATAAATTATGCAAAAAAAAGGAAAGAAAATCAAACAGTTTATTCTCTACTGTAAAATTACTTCTAAAATGTCCAAAGAATATGTATATTAAGGCTTTTTATTTTTTTAACTGCAGAACAACAGAAAGATTTCTTAAGTAAACTCAGCAACTTTTATTTTAAAATGAGCATTTATCCACGTGTGTGTGAAGTTGTTGATAATCAACCCCTGCTTGTCTATATCTTACCTTACCTCCCAAAGTTTTTCTCCTCCTCTGTTGATCTTTTTGCCTTCACTGTCTATCATCCAGTTCCTTTGTATTCTCTTTGGCAATGAAATGTATGACATAGTTGGATATATAATACTTCCTGAATTCTGTTCATTTTTTTCCCCTGTTTTCTCTAAAGCCCACTCTAATCAAACTTTCACTCCATCACTCCACACAAATTGTTCTTGTCAAGGTTGTCAGGGTTCTTTATGCTGCCAAATTCAGTGGTCAATTCTCAATCTTCGACTTTTTGATCTATCAATATTTGGCAGAGTTAATTGCTAACTACTCCTTGAGAAACTATCATCTCTTGTCTTCCAGGACACAGCATTCTGAGTTTTCCTCCTACCTTATGGGTTGCTCCTTCTCAGCCTTCTTTGTATATTCCTCTTTTCTCTGACTGTTAAGATTGGAGTAGCTCAGAACTCATTTCATGATCCTCTTCTATTGTCTGTTTTTTTCTATTTACACTCTACCTTCATGATCATATTCAGTCTCATGACTATAAATACTATCTATATATTTACAACTCCTGAGTTTAATTCAGCCCTGACCTCTTTCCCAAATGCCAGACTTATAATGCACTTACATTTTCACATTAATATCAAATAATGATTCAACCTGACTCAAAGCTGATTTGCTCATGTCTTCCTTTACTTTTCCCAAAGATAACATTCTCTATCTCAAGTGGGTGACAACTCTCTACTTCCATGCATTCAAATAAAAAATAAATACAAGCAGATAAATATTGAAAAAAATTGTTCCTTTTCTTTCTCACACACTATGTAACTAGTCTATCAGACAATTATGCTATCTCTTTTTCAAAATATCTACATGAACAAACCAACTAACTCCTTCCATCTTTATTTCTACCATTAAGTCTCAAGCCAACATCATCTTTTGCCTAGATTACTACAATAGTCCTTTAACTGACCATTTTTTCTCTAAAATCAGTTAAATTCCATCCTGTAAAATACCACTTAAAACAATTCATAACCATTTTGTAGAGGTCCACTTTATACATATAAATATATGTATACATTATATATATATATATGCTATAAATGGAATTATATTCTATATGATATATATGATCTTATATGTGTGTGTGTGTTTACATATGTTTATGTATATAGATAGATAAAGGCTGACAATTGCAGTGGTTTCTCAAAGTGTGCATATAAGAGCATAAAATAATTTTACTTAATGTACTACAGTGTATTAAATATTCCAAGTGCTTTGGCACTCTTTCTGAACAAGATTAATTAAATTTCCCTGCTTCATACACACACAAAAACACACATATGTACACAGAGAGATGCATATGTACACGTGTGTTTGTATGTGTATGCATAGGTTGAATATTCTATAAAATCCTCATCTCTTATTAGTCACCCTAAACCCTTTTCTTCTAAAAAAAAAAAAAAATGTTAGTTTAGTTGCTAACCTTAAATTCGGTGTTTCAGACATGTTGCAATTTAGAGATATGGTGTTTTTAAAATTTGTATTTATTTATCTTAGTTGGAGGATAATTGCTTTACGATATTGTGATGGTTTTTGCCTGCATCAGTATGAATCGGCCATAGGCATACATGTGTCCCCTCCACACTGAGCCTCCCTCCCTGCCAAAACTATCCCCTCCAGGTTGTCACAGAGCACTGAGAGGTTTTGTCTTAAATTCTTGAATGCTTTTCAAATCCTCTTTGAGGCTTTCTATATCTGACCACTTAGAGATAAATTAAATCATCTTACCTGCTGTCCTTAAGACATACTCACTGAAAGTGTGGTGTTTATAAATTTAGTTTTATTTATTGGTTTTTGGAGGAATACAATTTTTTTTTCCTTACAGCGTGAAATTTATAGCTTTGATGAAAATGGAAGTGGCAAAAGGAACTCAGCTCTGACAGGCTCAAGATATGGTTAATTAATTCAACAAAGAGTGTAAAATGCTGCTTCTGAATTTGAGGCTGAGGGTCAGATTATTAAGGTTGTGACAATGCTCTTGAGATTTAATCATCTTTGCAAAACACTAAAAAAACAAAAGCCTGAAATATACTAACCCAAAATTAAGACATCCACTTATTTTTCACTGAGATAATTGAACTATTTTCTCCCCAGGGAATCACTTATACCTTCATGAATAAGTTAGGCATTTGAAACACAAAATCTCTTTTATGGTCTTAAGACTCCATTGTGCATAACATTGAATTAAATTAAATGATATAAAATTTATTAGGTCTTGCCTCAAAATTTCAGAATTCCACTGAAAATATAATCCCTACTCATTTCTATTTTAATAGGCAAGAATACTGGAGTGAGTTACCATAACATACTCCAATTGATTCATCACTCCCCAAACACCTTCCTGATTGCAGTTTTTTCTCTCTTTTTATTTGCTCACTCTATTCCACGTATACTTGTTCCCTTACTATTCTTTTAACAAACCAAGGAGGATCTTACCTCAGGGCCTTTGTATTCACCATGGATATTCATGCAATGTTATCCTATGCAGGACTTGCTCAAATGTTATTTCCACAGGTTGCTCTACTCCCATACAACCCTATTCTCTTGCTTTAATTTCTTTAAAGCACAACTCTTATCCATGTCACACAATGCATCCCACACAAACAAGAACAAATGCCTATGCACACATGCATACACATTTTGTTGTTGACAATAAAGTCTTCCTCATTCAAAAACAAGTTTCATGAAATCAAGAACTTTGTTTTCTCACATGGTATATCTTCAGCATGTGTTACCTGCTGAATACATTTTTCCACTAATGTCTTTGAGAGAAACATTGGTTAATAATTAAAAGTGGAATTAACAGGAGATTGGAGGGCTGTTCCAGGGGGATAGAATGAGTTATCTCTTCCTTTGTGGGGTCTAACAAACCTTTTGGACATTGGTATTCCAATGTTCCAACATTGGTCTGTAGTGGAGAGTGGGATGGAAAGAAATAGGAAACAGACATTTAGCTGATTCCAAATCATTACTTAGTCCTTCAACATATCATCTCATGAAATACAGTTTTTTCCCTGTTGTTCCAACATTGACAGCCCCGACCCCACTACAATGAGCAATAAATAGGTAATTGTCTTTGATAAATGTTTATTGAAAATTATGTGAAACTTTGGCTGGGTTATAGATAAAAAGTTAAAACACTTTGACTATGAGATTGCCACGCTCCAAAATACTTCAGTCAATTCACAAAGTCAGTAAACTATACCCCCCATTGTTGCTATAGCACCCATATTATTAAACAGCTAAGACTTTCTTCTATAGTATTTGGTACTCTTGACATCCATGTGAATGGGAGTGTTACTATTTATAATAGACGCTGTGATATACTACCCAGATCGGACTTTCAGTATTGAAGCATTTCCTTCCCCAGCTTCCTAGGGCGCCGGCAGCTGACACCTCAGAGCTGAGCTCTAGTCCTGGGATATGCCTGCTGAGAGGCATTGTCATCCTGAAAGCTAGACCGCGTCCAGTGGGTGCCCCGTATCTAAAGCAGGTTATTATGGAGGCATAAATACCTGTTCAAGTTTGAAACATCTCTGAGAAGGATAATCTCAACTCCAGATCTGCACACGGAACTGGCTGAGTACTCTGATGCAATTTCATCACAAACTTCTTCATCAGTACTGTTCCTGGGAACACTCTCCAATAAATTTCCTAAATACACATATCTGTCTCAGAGTCTATGTTCCAAGATCCAATCAAAGTCATATATATAAATAATTTTATATATAATTATATATATATATATATAAAATTAGAGTGGAAAAGCTCAATATTAAAATTGAGACTTCAATCTAGATCAGCCAGTTCCAAGTATTTTGATATTTTACCAGACAGCCTTCCTTCACTCTATTGATTCATACTATAGGCTAATAAATACACATTTAAGACACCAGTAAATTAAGAATACATCTCATTTTAAACAATATACTTTTTTTTTCATTTATTTTTATTAGTTGGAGGCTAATTACTTTACAATATTGTAGTGGGTTTTGTCATACATTGACATGAATCAGCCATGGATTTACAAGTATTCCCCATCCCGATCCCCCCTCCCACCTCCCTCTCCACCCTATTCCTCTGGGTCTTCCCAGTGCACCAGGCTAGAGCACTTGTCTCATGCATCCAACCTGGGCTGGTGATCAAACAGTATACTTTAACACAGAAAAACAGTTCAAGCAATTAGACAATACAGTTAACATGAAAACATTCTTATTCCACATAATAGGGGGATATGTAACATGGCTTCACAGTATCTGTTTCTGTAAGATCTTCTTTAAGGCCCCTTTCACATCCTTATTTTTCAAACTGTAGATGAGGGGATTTAGCATAGGGATCACTACCGCATAAAAGACAGAGGCAATCTTGTCCTGCTCCATTGAGTAGCTAGATGTAGGACGCAAGTACATGAACAGAATCGTCCCAAAGAACATGGTGATGGCCATGAGGTGAGAGGCACAGGTGGAGAAGGCTTTGTGCCTTCCCTCTAATGAGGGCATCCTCAAGATGGCAACGAGGATGCATAGGTAGGAAATGAGGATGATCATAACACAGCCAATGACGTTAACACTGGAGAAAGCCATGATCACAATGCCATTGATGCGGGTATCAGAGCAAGAGAGTTTGAGCAGGGGTGGTGTATCACAGTAGAAATGATTGATCTTATTGGAACCACAAAAGGGCAATTTAAAAGTCATTCCTGTGTGTATGGCTGCATTTCCAAAACCTGCTAGGAATGAGGTAGCCACTAGCAAGACGCAAATTCTCCCAGACATGAGAACTGGATACAGCAAAGGGTTCCAAATGGCTGCATAGCGGTCATATGCCATCATAGCTAACAAGAAGCACTCAGTCCCCAGGAAGGAGCCAAAGAAATAGAACTGGGCAGCACATCCATTAAAAGAAATGGCCTTCCTCTCAGCCACGAGGTTCACCAACATCTTAGGAGTGACAGAAGAAGAGTAAGAGGCATCAACAAAGGAGAGACTGCTGAGAAAAATGTACATGGGTGTGTGGAGACAAGGATCCATCTTAATTAACACAATCATCCCCAAATTACCCACCATGGTTGCCATATAGATCAACAGAAACAATCCAAAGAGGATGACTTGTAGCTCTGAATTGTCCGAGAGTCCTAAGAGGATAAATTCTGTCACTTCTGTTTGATTCCTGGCTTGCACCTCTTTCATATATCTGGCCATTTGAGCTGCAATAAGAGAAAAGATAGACCATGCTATTTGGTCAGATGAATGCATGACAGGTGGGCTTCCCTACCGGCTCCCTGGTGAACAAGCTTGCCAATACAGGAGCTTCAGTTTCGATTCTTGGGTGGGGAAGATCCCCTGGAGAGGAAATGGCAACCCACTCCTGTATTCTTGCCTAGACAATTTCATGGACAGAGGGGCCTGGGAGGATATAGTCCATGGAGTCACAAAGGGTTGGACATGACTTAGCAACTAAACAACAAATACATGACAGAACTTAAACACCTCTTCACTGACATGTACACATGCAAATTTTAGCACAGTGCGTAATGTGAAAAACAGTAAAAATTGTGCTAAGTTTGATACTAAAACATGAAAGCACTGTGTTGAGTTCTAGGTGTGCTGCCAACTAACAAATGACCTTAAAACAAGTGACATATGTCCATCAATTATGAGCACTTCTGGCATTAACTGTTTATTGGATAACTACAGAACGTATCCTTAAGATGCATCTCATTATTTATGATAAATTAATTGAGATATTAGCATACCTGTTAGGCACATCTCCCAGAGAAAAACTGTCAAAATGGAATGAATGAAAAGTATTGAAAATGATTTAAATTAATTAAAAAATAAAATGAATTTGAATTTTCTGGTAGTGGAGGGGGTAATTTTTAAAGTTGATGGCCAATCCAGGAGACAGACTATTCCCATATAGCCAGCATGGTTCCAACCCTACCCTAATTTTCCAGTGTCAGCATTTACAGAAAAAAAAAAAAAAGTCAGTTAAATATTGAGCATTTTGAATAATCCCCTTCAGTTTTTAGAGAAGCAGGCTGTAAGAATAAGCTCACATCCCGGATGACACTAATAGAACAAGCCAGGGCAGAGAAGACTCCTACCGACACTCAGATTCACAGGATCACAACTGAAGCAGACCACCACCAGCAGCATGTGGAATGTTCCGGCCTCCATATTTAAATCTGGGGAATGATTTAATATGAAGTCATCCAAGCGGAGGTAAAATTTACCCCTTGAAATGTATAATGAAGTGAAATCTAGGACAAAAGGAAGAAGAAAGAAAGAAAAAGATAGAAGAAAGAGAGGAAGGAAGGATGGAAGGAAGGGAGAGAGGGAGGAACAGAGGAAAAAAGAAAAAAAGAAACAACAACACATCCCCAGTCTACATTTTTAAAGTAAAAGTTTGGGCCAATTACTCTAGTGGAATTCTCTATTTCCACCCCAATTCCTCACCTGGTCCATGGACTTAGATTATAAAACAGTAGATAGCATGATACTAACTTAGTTATCTAATTATATCTCAGAGTGTTAAACCCCTTATCATTTAGAGCAGCAAGCTATTTGGTACTGTCTGAAATTAAAACATAAGGTGAAATTCCCTTGTAGTCTAATGGTTAAGACTCCATGCTTCTACTGCAAGGGGTGTGGGTTGGATCCCTGATTGGGGGAACTAAGATCCCACATACTATGTGGCATGGTCAAATATACATGGGCTTTCCCAGTGGCTCAGCGGTACAGAATCTGCCTACAATGCAGGAGATGCACAAGACAGGGATTCGATCCCCAGACAGGGAAGATCCCCTAGAGGAAGTCATGGAAACACACGCCAGTATTCTTGCTAGAGAGTCCCATGGACAGAGGAGCCTGGTGGGCTACAGTCCGCGTTTGCCCAGTTGCTCAGTTGTGCCCGATTCTTGCGACCCCATACTGTAGCCGGCCAGGCTCCTCTCTCCTTGGGATTCTCCAGGCAAGAATACTGGAGGGGGTTTCCATTTCCTTCTCCAGGGGATCTTCCCAACTCGGGAGTTGAAACCAGGTCTCCTGCATTGCAGGCAGATTCTTTGCCAACTGAGTTATGAGGGAGATGCCACAGTCCATAGGGCTGCACAGAGTTGGACATGGCTGAAGAAACTCAGCATGTATATAAAGCTGAGCACCGAAGAATTGATGCTTTTGAGCTGTGGTGTTGGAGAAGACTCTTGAGAGTCCCTTGGACTGCAAGGAGATCCAACCAGTCAATCCTAAAGGAAATCAGTCCTGACTATTCATTGGAAGGACTGATGCTGAAGCTGAAATGCCAATACTTTGGCCACCTGATGTGAACCGACTCATTGGAAAAGACTGTGAGGATGGAAAAGATTGAAGGCAGAGGGAGAAGAGGATGACAAAGGAGGAGATGGCTGGATGGCATCACCGACTCAATGGGCATGTGTTTGAGCAAGCTCCAGGAGTTGATGATGGACAGGGAAGGCAGATGTGCTGCAGTCCATGTCGCAAACAATCAGACATGACTAAGCGACTGAACTGAATTAATATAAATCTTTTTAAAAAGATTTAAAACAGAAGATCAAAGTAAGTCAACACCTGTGCTGATATTGATGTTAAAAGATCTACTGAGCACAGTTTGGGGGAAGGGTGGCAGGATCTGGTTCCATTCTTACAAACACCACCATACAAGAAGTGCCTAGTCATGCTCAGATCTGCTCAGTTTCCAATGGGACAGGGACTCAATACTCCAATAAGCAAAATGTCTGACATTTGTATGCAGTACTTTCAGCATGTCATTGCACCCATTATCTTATCTAAGTCTCACCACAGTTCAGTGAGGGAGATAATCAAGAATAAGCCAATGAGTATTAAGAAGATTATCTTTTGTTAGCTGAGGTCAGTGAAGGATAGGAATGTCACAGCTAATCAGTGGTGAATGCTGGCTAGAACATAGGTCTCTTGATGCCACATTATTTGCTCCTCAAAACTACACTGCCTCTCTTCTGATTTCACTGGACAGATATTTAGTCCTAGGTCCTTGGACTAAACTTGCTGTTTGAACGTCACAGAAAAGCATCTTCAGCAGGTATTAAAAAGAAGGAATGGGTATTTTCCTCTCTTCTTCAACAAGAAAGAGTCTGTGAGAGTACTTTTCCATCAGAAATAGCAGAAAGAATAAAATGCTCTAGAAACTTTGGTGTGTGTTAAGCACATAAAGAAAGGCAATGATGTGTAAAAATAATAAGTACTAAATTAGGTTAATCATTCCCTATGATCTAAAAGTTCTGTGTTAATTATTTTTCCTGTATTATTTTATTTAAATTCTGTGATATATGCAGTATTATAGTCCTCTTTTTGCACATGAGAAATGAGAGGTACAAAGGATTGGTAACTACTGCTCAGAGTCCCAGAGGTAGCCTTTAGATGTCTAATTTAATGTCAATGCAGTTCTCCTCTTAATATCTGAGGTCATTTATAAGGACCTTGTCAATAATAGGTGTGAGCACTAATATATAGAGATGATACTGTAATCCTCAGAACTGTATTAATACATTAGAATCCATTTACTTACATTAGGAAAAAATGTGTATATCTCCTAAAAAGAAAATGTAATTATAGAGGCTGAAAATTGTCTTATTCATAACTCACTCTCATTAATTTGTCTTTTAGCAAAATACCATTCATTTTACATCTAGCATTGCAAATTACATGCTTCATTCTATCTTCCTTAGCAAATACATTTCTTGTTTTTGTGAAATATACTCTTCCCCCTAGCTGAGAGTTTGCAGTCAACTGTTTAGTCCAGATATTCTTCATCTGGGTTTTCAATTTCTAAGAGTTTGTGAAAATAGTAAGATTTCCTTAAAATCTCTGGTGTTTAAAAAAGCATTTAAGTCATATTAGTTATTCTCCTTAGTTTTCTCCTAAAGACTAACAAATTTTATATTGATAAAAATGGACAGAGCAGCTATTTAACATACTGTCTTAGTCATTCAGTATTCTTGGAACCTTGGGTCTGTGGGTAATTGGAGAAATTAACAAGACTGTGAGTTTTTCTTCAGATCAGTAAACTACGTGGGACACAACTTTAATATTTTTTTCTTACCTTTCTTAATTGGTTAACTTCTACTTGATCCCTTTGCCTGTTCTTATCCAATGTCCAAATTCACCAGAAAAAAAAATCAGGAGGCAAGAAAACATAAAAACTTTTTAGAAAAGTTTCCTCTAATTGTCCCAGGTTAAGCAGTAGACACAGTTGCAAAGGACTTCAGACACCAACCAGTAGAGACAAGAAAACTGAAACACTTATACCTTTCCTGTCAGGAGAGAATCACTTACACTCAGCAGAGACTGAGTCCTTCTTATTTTTACTTTTCCTTTAAGGTAAGAATCCCAATATGTTAAAATGTAAAATACATTTCAACATATAGAATACATTGCTGCAGTATATTTGTAATACTGTTTGCAGCTATTTCCAGTTGGAGAGTCCCTAGACCAGAGTCTGGAGTAAGCATGTGACATTTTAAATAGGATATATTTCTTGTTCTTATGGCTCTGGGGACTGTGTTCCTCATGTCATCTCATTTTAATATACTTTTTTTTTTTCCCCTCTGCAACTAAGGGAATCACATGTCTCTTTCATGTTCCTCTCCTTTACCCTTGGGATATCTGGGGCTAAATAGAATGAATTTTCAGATGAGGATTTCTAACCACTGTTTTGATTTTTTTTTTTGGA